ACTCCAGACTTGCCTGCCTATAATTACAAGATTGATTGTAAGACTCAAGACTTGCCTGCCTATAATTACTGAATTGATTGTAAGACCAAAGACCTGTTCTTCCTATAATTACAAAATTCATTATAAGACCCAAGACTTGCCTGTCTATAATTACAAGATTGATTGTAAAACTCCAGACTTGCCTGTCTATAATTACAAGATTGATTGTAAGACTAAAGACTTGTTGGCCTATAATTACAAAATTGAGTGTAGGACCTAAGACTTGCCTGCCTATAACTACAAGATTGAAGGTAAGACCCAAGACCTGTTCTGCCTATAATTACAAAATTCATTATAAGACCCAAGACTTGCCTGTTTATAATTACAAGATTGATTGTAAGACTCAAGCCTTGCCGGCCTATAATTACAAGATTGAGTGTAGGACCCGACTTGCCTGCCTATTATGAATTAAAAGATTGAGTGTAGGACCCAAGACCTGTTCTGCCTATAATTACAAAATTCATTATAAGACCCAAGACTTGCCTGTCTATAATTACAAGATTGATTGTAAAACTCCAGACTTACCTGCCTATTAATACAAGATAGATTGTAAGACCCAAGACTTACCTGCCCATAATTACAAGATTGATTGTAAAATTCCAGACTTGCCTGCCTATAATTACAAGATTGATTGTAAGACTCAAGACTTGCCTGCCTATAATTACTGAATTGATTGTAAGACCCAAGACCTGTTCTACCTATTATTACAAAATTCATTATAAGACCCAAGACTTGCCTGTCTATAATTACAAGATTGATTGTAAGACTCAAGCCTTGCCGGCCTATAATTACAAGATTGAGTGTAGGACCCAAGACTTGCCTGCCTATAATTACAAGGTTGAGTGTAAGACCCAAGACCTGTTCTGCCTATAATTACAAAATTCATTATAAGACCGAAGACTTACCTGTCTATAATTACAAGATTGATTGTAAAACTCCAGCCTTGCCTGCCTATAATTACAAGATTGATTGTAAGACCCAAGACTTGTCTGCCTATAATTACAAGTTTGATTGTAAAACTCCAGACTTGCATGCCTAAAATTACTGAATTGATTGTAAAACTCCAGACTTGCCTGCCTATAATTACAAAATTGATTTTAAGACCCAAAACCTGTTCTGCCCATAATTACAAGATTGATTCTAAGACTTAAGACTTGCCTGTCTATAATTGAAATAGTCATTGTAAGACTCAAGACTTGTCTGCCTAATTATAAGATCAATTTTAAGACAAGACTTGCCTGCCTATAATTTAAAGATTGATTGTAAGACCAAAGACCAGTTCTGCCTGTAATTACAAGGATTGATAAAAATTTTAAACTATTTTGCATATATAAGAATGCTACTTTGTACATATCAATACTGGAAACCTTAAGTGTATTCCAAGAACATTTTAGATGAAAGAGGAAAGATTATATATATATATAAGATATAAGATATATATATATACTTTAAAATTCTATTTTTCAAAACTAAAAAAAATACAATAAATTACTTCTTAACATTTCTAAATAGCTGTTTTAACAGATTACTGCAAACATCGTTATTATTACATAACTGTTCTGCATAAAAGTTTTAGGTTTTAAAAATATACATGATGGCCATTTTATTTTCCATATTCAATTTATGTTTCACTTGACAGATTTCTGATTTTTATTTTTTTTATCAATTTTTTTCCTTTCTTGACCTTTTAAAAACAAAACCAAAATAGCCACTCCCTGAAATAAAAATTAATTCATACAAAATGCACTTTATGGTTTTCATATTTTCCCCCATAAAGGCATAAACATATAAATCATTTTATTATACTAGAACCACCAAGGGACTTTTTCAATTATGTTTTTATATACTTAATTATAAAAAGTTAATAGAGACTACAATTTCAATGTTCCATTGATTTTTGTCAAGAATTCAGGAAAGAATTTCATCCATTATTCCAATGTACAATGTACCACTTAAGATGCTGAACATTTTCATATAAAAAACATGTACCACACCATTTTTTTATTATATTTTTTATTTATTTTAACAGCAAACAACATCATTTATTTACAGAAACATATATCACCTGACTTATAAAGGATAACCATGATAACACTTCAAACAAATTTTATTTGGTCCAATAATCTACAGATATTTCACAAAAAGATCAATAACGGTATTTTACCTCTAATGCCCATTTACAGACCTTGCAAAAATGAAGGAAAGTGTTGCAAATGATGAAATAAAAGCTACCGACAATTTCAAATATTCAATTTCAATACATAGCTTGGGGACAAGTAGTAAGTGTTGGTTAGTGAATATTTTAATTCATTATTAAAAATTTTCACAAGACCATTTCAGTCAAGTTTGAATAAAATGCTCCGCTGGGGCGCAGCTTGATACGACCGCAGAGGTCGAACCCTGAACAGTTGGGGCAAGTATGGACACAACATTCAAGCTTGATACAGCACTGAATTTGGATTGCAATTACATATTTGACACAGCATAGGTTTCTGACACAGAATGAATGTGGTCTAAGAACTTAAAATTTTTTTAATTTACCTATTCAAACCATATCATTATTATTTGCTTTTATATATAAATCAGAAATAACCAATTAATGAATTTAAAATGGAAATTTTAAAGAAAAAAAAGGAAAAAAAAATCCCCCCCCCCAAATTTTTGAACCCCCTTATGATTCATCACCCCCAAACTTAATCCCAGCCTTCCCTTGGTGGTATGGTACCTTGCAGTACAATTTCAGAGAGATCCATACACTTGAACACAAGTTATTGTCTGGAAACTAGAAAAATGCTTGTTTTTTGGCCCCTTTTTGGCCCCAAATTCCTAAACGTTTAGGGCAATTACCCCTAAACTCAAACCCAGCTTTCCCTTTGTGATATGGAACCTTGCAGTACAATTTCATAAAGATCCATGCACTGACACACAAGTTTTGTCCTGAAACTAGAAAAATGCTTGTTTTTTTGCCCCTTTATGGCCCCTAATTCCTAAAATTTTGAGGGAATTACCCCCAAAATCAATCCCAGCCTTCCCTTTGTGGTATGGTACCTTGCAGTACAATTTCAGAAAGATCCATACACTTGAACACAAGTTATTGTCTGGAAACTAGAAAAATGCTTATTTTTGGCCCCTGTTTGGCCCCTTATTCCTAAACGTTTTGGGCAATTACCCCCAAACTCAATTCCAGCTTTCCCTTTGTGATATGAAACCTTGTAGTACAATTTCATAAAGATCCATACACTTGCACACAAGTTATTGTCATGAAACTAGAAAAATGCTTGTTTTTTGCCCCTTTTTGGCCCCTATTTCCTATAATTTGGAGGCAATTACCCCCACAATCAATCCTAGCATTCCCTTTGTGATATGTAACCTTGTGGTACAATGTCAGAGAGATCCATACACTTACACACAAGTTATTGTCATGAAACTAGAAAAATGCTTGTTTTTTTCCCCTTTTTTGCCCCTAATTCCTAAAACTTGGAGGCAATTACCCCCAAAATCAATCCCAGCATTCCCTTTGTGATATGGAACCTTGTGGTACAATGTCAGAGAGATCCATACACTAACACACAAGTTATGTCTGGAAGTTACAAAAATGCTTATTTTTGGCCCCTAATTCCTTAACTGTTAGTACCATAACCCCCAAAATCAATCCCCACCTTCCTTTTGTGGTATTGAAGCTTATTATAAAATTTCATAGAGATCCATTCACTTAAACTAAAGTTAGAGTGCGAAAACCAATGTGTCTTCGGACGACGACGTCAACGTCATACCAATGTACGACCGCAAAATTTTTTTGCAGTCGTATAAAAATAAATTGTCTTTCATTTGAAATTAATGAGCATAAAATCACCCAAAATCAATAACCCACAAATATACCTTTCCCAGTGATTAACTTAAAGAAACCAAAATTAGATGTGAACATTATTTAAAAACACTGTTATCTCCTGCTCAACGTAGAGCGTATTCACAATTCAGGTGTGGGGTTGCACCTATATGAATCGAAACCGGGCGCTACGAATGTTTACCAATGCATGAATGGACTTGCTTTATGTGTGATAGTAAGATGGAAACATGTACTACTTTAATGTCCACTTTATGACGATTTAAGGAACGAACTTTATGAATACATAAACAGTGAAGATGAGAATTTTAACATGTTCACGAATCGTAAGAAACTGTCTTTTGTGTTGGGGTGCCAAAACATTTATGTTATATACAAATATGCCAAAACCTGCAAATCTATTTTAGACGGAAGGAGACGTTTTTTATATCGATAATTTTTAGACTGTAAAGTTTTCGTAATTTACACAGTACACAGTTTTATAAAGAACTTTAATGTTTAGTGAATTTTTACTTTTTGTCTCTCATAATTCTTTTAAGAATGGCATTTATATCTTTTTATGTTTTTTTTTTATATATGTATATATTTTATTGTGTATATTAATGGTGAGATGTTAATAATAAACTATCGTAGATGATCACAGATGTCCCTGCTCATGCTTTTACAAAAATGGTACATACAGTGTAAAAAGGGAGGCACAGGAATGTATGCAGTTCATGTTTCTTTGAGTTTTTTGGGGTCCTTTTCATTTGTTTAAATTTAAGGTCATTAGTTTAAAAAGTATTTTTGTTATTATCTATTTACCTGGAATTTCATTATTTTCTTATTAAATTAAAGCATTGATTTGAGAGAGTAAAAGTTTGAATCAATGAATTCTAAATTGATTTGTATTAGTATTAAAATTTAATATCATCTAATGAAGTGGTGGATTTATTCTTTACTTTCAGTTACAGCAATTCTATTCAATCAAGTAAGCTCTACTAAGTCAATCTCTAAATCACCAAAAATAGAACATAATTAGCATATCAAAATTTATGTATCAAGTTAATTGTAATTTTAACTATCATCTTAAATCCAGAACCAATATTGTAAATTCAGAAATTATTTCGAGGTTTTTCTTAATGTGAATAATGCAACTGCATGGGTGAGTATCCCAATAAGAACTTGCATTCTATTATCGTATACATATATTTGTATGAAGATTTTCCTGAAATTGCAATAATTAATCTTACATTTTTTTATCATTCTAAAAAAATCACAATAATAAATGCACACAATCATTTCTGAATTTACAGTATAGGAAAATGCACTAAAAAATTGAGAAAATGGTGTGATATCATGACAAACATTTAAGGAATAACTGTACTGTAGTGGAAGAGTTACTACGGTCAATTGGAGGACAGTCAAGGTCACTAAATGAAATCCATAAAATCAATTTATTCAAATCTTTTAAATCATTGCCTCTATTTCTGTTGACTGCAAACATGACCATCTTTAATAGTTAGTTGTTAAGTATCAGTAGATAAAAAATCCAAAAATAGGATCATTTTGTGGTTATATTATCATAGGTTTCAAAACATCGATGCTTTTTCAAAATAAAATAAATGTTATCCCATGTTCTATTAAACTTTAATGGCATTGAGCAAGGTCATCGTCCGACTTTAAAAAGAGCATTAAGTTATAGTGTAGGACATTAAACACTAACTAATGAGTCACTGAACTTTATCGGATCATTACTGCCCTGTATCAATAACTGTTAACTCACACTGTGTGAAACAAACTGGTAAACTTTTTTTAAATAATTGATTTATAAATGAAGCCAGATATCAAGTGAAGACAATAGCCAATATGTAAAATTGTGATTAATTGTGAATACAAGTAAATACTTTCAGTAGCAATATAACATGCAGGTGTGAATACGAACAACGAATTTTATTTGTAGCCAATATGTAAAGTTATGAATACAAGCAAATACTTTCAGTGGCATTTAAAACATGGATGTGTGAATATGAACAATGAAATTTATTCTTGTGAATACAAGCAGATATTTTCAGTGGCAATTGAAACATGCATGTGTGAATATGAACAATGAATTTTACTCGTAGCCCTTATGTAAAGTTATGAATACAAGCAAATACTTTCAGTAGCAATTAAAACATGCAGGTGTGAATATGAACAATGAATTTTATTCGTAGCCAATATGTAAAGTTATGAATACAAGCAAATACTTTCAGTAGCAATTAAAACATGCAGGTGTGAATATGAACAATGAATTTTATTCTTCATAGTCATCCCTACACATATTTTCCGTGTAAGGAATACAGTTAATTACCTTACAAGCATAACAATCTGTAATTGACTGAACTTTGAAGAATGCATAAAGTAATACAAAATATATCACCACTAAAAGGGGGACACAAAAGCCAATCAGAATAACCCTTGACCTGTGTGATATCTTACTGAAAGATACAAATGGCAAGACTATCACACCTGAACACAAGCCAATGATAATTCCAGTGATAATGGTGTAATTACTGATGTATTGGAGTGTTCCTGCTGTAAGAAACAAGACAATGACAAACAGAACCTTGGAAATTTCAAGTAATGGTCTATTTATAAATCTCCATAGTAACAGTATTTCTACCACAGTTACACCGAGTAATCCACAAACTGATCCTGTGGCACCTACATGGGGAGAGTGTGGTTCAAATATGGAGGCTGCCTGAAAATATACAAAATATTTTGCTGTTAAATATTTCATGCCATCTACAACATTATTGTCTGAAAAAATTGTCACAATAATCTTAAGAAAGATAATTTATGTCCCCTTTTGGTCATATAGCTCCTAACAGTATTCAGGTATTTACACATCCTTGACTGTCAGTTTGTTTTGGTTTTAGTGTTTCTGATGACGTTATATCCAGAAAAGAACTTTGGACAAATTTATGAAGTATTATTTTCATTTTCAAATCACTTCTTAACGGAAGCTGATCCTGGTTTCCTATCATGACTCATGCCAGGTCAGATAAATAAATAAATGCATGTTGATCACCTGATATTCAACTAACTAAAAGAGAGGCAAAAGATACCAAAGGGACATTCAAACTCATAAGTTCTGTATAGGATTTATCATAAATTGGTCTGTATTACTTCTTTATAGGTTGCACTTTGTAAATACAGCTGTTTCATAAACCATGCCTCTTTTGGGGAGATATATAATATTCATCGATATTTTGTTTTGTTTACGTACTGGTTCCCAGATATGATCTCTATGTTTCATCTCATAAAGACATAACTTCAGAATGTTACCAGTATAAATGCACATGGAAGGCGGTGGAATTGAATTCTGAGTAAAACATAAAGTGAAGGGAGGGTAAGTGCAGAATTTTAGTATAAGTTTAAACTCTTAGAAGTTTGGGCCAATAAATGTTGAAAATATGCCGCACAGCCCTATGTTTTGACCTTTGAATAAAAAAGTAGTGCATATCAACTTTCCATTCTAGAATATAAATTTTACGAAACTTCATTATAAAAGTAGCCCAGTTTTAGCCGTAAAGGGAGTTCCTATGGGAAATTGCATTGTCTATATTTACAGAAATGCAACCTATAGATACAATATATAAACAATTGGCCTAGAGATACATCTTGACTGTGGCATCCTTTAAATGATGATGTTATACATAGAAAAGATTTTTCATTGTTTTTTGTATTAAAAAAAAGCCAAACTTCAGGAACATTTTGGCTACATTAACATAGTAAAATTATATAGCCAAAAGTAATTTTTTGCAAAACAGATAAACAGAAATAAACTTTTCCTGTGTGAATACCATTGATGTAAAAGTTTTTCTCTTAATAATTTCTTACCATTTATGAGTAAAAGAGACAGAACATTGTTAGATATTTGCAATTCTACTGAGTGTATAATCAAAAAACAGCTATGTAACCAATGGAAAGGAAATATTTCAAACCAAACGTTTAGCATTTATTACAGTAGGGTGCATAGACTGAAGGTTTGATTACATAAATGTAAATTGGTGAAATTTAGAAGAATAAAACATATGATGGTAGGTCAAATTTACCATCTTATTATAACTTCCACTTCAAAAACTTAACCAGTTGAGATTATGAATCTGTATAACTGTTCAATTAACAATGGTATTAAACCTGTGGTAGTATATTACTGTAAAACCAACCCCTTTTGTTCCACTTCATGCTTTGTTTTCATTAACCTTCATAAGCAACATTAAAATAAGATTAGGTTCTGTGATTTACCATTCTAGTATATTACTTTCATGAAAATTTAAGTCAGTAATTAGTGGGTGCATCTCAATGCATTTTTCATATGACTAGAAACATTCCATTATTACATAAATTTAAAATATTTACAAATTTCTTACCAGTATTCCTCCTATTCCACTCAGCACATAAACTACCATTATCCTCAGCCAACCAATAGACCTCTCCATAGTTCTCATGATGAGGAAATGAATGGCCCCAACGATGACAACATGAATGATGCCATGGTGATAGATAATAGAAAGAGGCAGTCTCCACCACTGTGCTGGATTGTCTGGTAACCATGGCTTATCTGATTTTGATGAAATTCCACCCATACCACAAATAGAATTTAAACAATTTACCTACAAAAAAGATCTGTGTTATATGCTATCAGATTTTTGTCTTTCTTTAACTTATTGATAGAGCATTTAGTCATGTTGGTATCTTCCAACTTAAAAAAAAAGTAAAATACAATAATAAAAGATGACATCTATTTTTTTAAGAAATAGATTTAAAATGCGTTTAAAATATGCAGATGAATTTGAATCTTTTTAGGTAGCCAATTAAACACATTTAAATCTATATTTTTCAAACTATTTTACCAAAAAAGTTTGAGTTATCTACCCTTGATCAACATATCAATTCATCACAAATAACTTTCATTGCAAAGTTTCAATTATTAAAGTTTTTAGTTTACTTTAATTATCAAATAAAGTATTTGAATAAATTGCAAGATATCCATTTAAATTTTCATCATCCGTATGATAATTTTCAATTCTTATTTATTACCGGTATTTACATATCTATGATATGGTCATACCTGACTACAGTGATCTGCAGAATGCTTTGAGAAGTACCCTCCTAAGAATACACAGTGTGTATGTGTGGTTAGTTTACACTGACCCTGAAGGTTGTAACAACATGGCTTCAGGTTGTGAGACACACTGTTTTGTCCTGAAGGTCTTTCACTACATTTTATACCTGCTTTCCAAAGACCGACGTCTGAAAATAAAATTTGGGGAATAAGATAATGTATGTGTGCAGTGAACAAATGGATCCTATATACTGAAATTCTCTTTTATAATTGGTTGTCTTTTTACTGAGATTTATTTCATTAATCTTTTTACTTTTTGTATAATGCAGGTCTGCATTTTTATGCACCTGCCCTAAGTCAGGAGCCTGTTGTTCAGTGGTTGTAGTTTGTTGGTGTACCTAAGTCAGGAGCCTGTTGTTCAGTGGTTGTAGTTTGTTGGTGTACCTAAGTCAGGAGCCTGTTGTTCAGTGGTTGTAGTTTGTTGGTGTACCTAAGTCAGGAGCCTGTTGTTCAGTGGTTGTAGTTTGTTGGTGTACCTAAGTCAGGAGCCTGTTGTTCAGTGGTTGTAGTTTGTTGGTGTGGTTCATAGACGTTTCTCGATTTTTAAATGTTTTCCTGTATGAATTGTTTTACACTAGTCATTTTGGGGACCTTTATAGCTTGCTGTTTGGTGTGAGCCAAGGCTCCGTGTTGAAGGCCCTGTTAACTTTTTATACATTATGACTTGGATGGAGAGTTGTCTCATTGGCACTCATACCACATCTTATTTATACTAATTGATTGATTTTTGTTTGCCTAATGTCACATAGCAAATTACAAAACAAAATATGCTTACACTATTTAGGCATATGATGTTAACTCCTTTAGGAGTTAACATAGATTATACCTGTTAGCAATGTTTTTATCCCAGAATTATAAAAAAAGAATGTACATGCTGTTGTGCCAACCAACTCGTAATTCAAAGTATCAATAAACAGAAAGTGGGTTTCAGACAGATCTGAGAAGTACTGAAACTTTACAACTCATTACTTCCAAGCACTGGAGGTCATTCTGTTTTGTAATACTTAAGAAAAGTATGATGAAAATTTTTAAGTTCATTGAACATATTAAAAATCAAAGTATTGGCAAATAGGAAGTAGTTGTCTATCAGATCTGTAAAGAGCTTACACGATACAACTCATCACTGTCAATCTTGAAGTAGTTGTCTGTCAGATCTGTAAAGAGCTTACACGATACAACTCATCACTGTCAATCTAGAAGTAGTTGTCTATCAGATCTGTAAAGAGCTTACACAATACAACTCATCACTGTCAATATAGAAGTAGTTGTCTATCAGATCTGCAAAGAGCTTACACGATACAACTCATCACTGTCAATAAAGAAGTAGTTGTCTATCAGATCTGTAAAGAGCTTACACAATACAACTCATCACTGTCAATATAGAAGTAGTTGTCTATCAGATCTGCAAAGAGCTTACACGATACAACTCATCACTGTCAATCTAAAAGTAGTTGTCTGTCAGATCTACAAAGAGCTTACACGATACAACTCATCACTGTCAATCTAGAAGTAGTTGTCTATCAGATCTGTAAAGAGCTTACACGATACAACTCATCACTGTCAATCTAGAAGTAGTTGTCTGTCAGATCTGTAAAGAGCTTACACAATACAACTCATCACTGTCAATCTAGAAGTAGTTGTCTATCAGATCTGCAAAGAGCTTACACGTTACAACTCATCACTGTCAATCTAGAAGTAGTTGTCTGTCAGATCTGCAAAGAGCTTACACGATACAACTCATCACTGTCAATCTAGAAGTAGTTGTCTGTCAGATCTGTAAAGAGCTTACACAATACAACTCATCACTGTCAATCTAGAAGTAGTTGTCTCGTCAGATCTGTAAAGAGCTTACACGATACAACTCATCACTGTCAATCTAGAAGTAGTTGTCTGTCAGATCTGCAAAGAGCTTACACGATACAACTCATCACTGTCAATCTAGAAGTAGTTGTCTGTCAGATCTGCAAAGAGCTTACACAATACAACTCATCACTGTCAATCTAGAAGTAGTTGTCTGTCGGATCTGCAAAGAGCTTACACGATACAACTCATCATTGTCAATCTAGAAGTAGTTGTCTGTCGGATCTGCAAAGAGCTTACACGATACAACTCATCACTGTCAATCTAGAAGTAGTTGTCTATCAGATCTGTAAAGAGCTTACACAATACAACTCATCACTGTCAATCTAGAAGTAGTTGTCTATCAGATCTGTAAAGAGCTTACACAATACAACTCATCACTGTCAATATAGAAGTAGTTGTCTATCAGATCTGCAAAGAGCTTACACGATACAACTCATCACTGTCAATCTAGAAGTAGTTGAGAAAAAATCTGACGGAAATATTTGTTGGACAAACGAAGGGACAGAGTGAATGAAATAATTAGCTGCCACTCCACTTACTTTATGAAGAGACATTTTTTCTGTATAGCGCAAACCTGTCTACTGAAGATTTTGATCAAATTAAGACAGGTGTTTGGTTTACGCAGTTGGATTTATTCAAAATGCTCGATTTTTATCCTGATATAATTTAATTTACACCGGTTTCCTGATTATACAAAATCAGATTGACATGTTTCATATACTTATTGATTTCCCACATTTGCCATTTCTGGCAAAATTTAGAAAACAAATATGACTCCTCTTCTTTCAAATCGGGCTCTGAACATTTTACATAGCTAGTTTAAGGGACATTTTCAAGAAATTTGATATTTCAGATATTTCAAAATATAACCCGTTTTAGCAATAGACTGTGAATCATTTCGAAAAAGTATAGAAACAGTAATAGTGCAATTAAGGAACTTAGGAACGACATCAAAAGTTCAATGTAGGATAAAAAACTTAATTCACATAGACTCCCCCCATCTTAACTTAATTTGGAAAAAATTGATTGACCAATATGGGAATATGCTTTTAGAGTATACTTTTTGTATCATGGGTCCTGTTTTTCCTCAACAATGTATGTTTGTTCTGTATATTTACTTGGACATCACTTTTAAAAAATATTGGAAAAAAGTTATGTGTATTTTTAGTATGCATAAAAAAACACACCGTTAAATTATAATTTTATAAATATTACAGTCAGAATGGATTCTGCATTTTTCATCTGCCCACTATTAGCATGTATAAATAGTGGGTTTATAGTTTTGATTGTTTTTGTTTCTTTTCTCAAATGAATATAAAACAGTTCATTGTTTCATATAACGTATATAGCTTTAAACTAAATAGTGGTCCATGAAATGTATGGTGATGACAGGGCAGTGCATTTGCGCCAACTGTGGAGAGAGGGAAAAGCACAATCCCAAATGAATGTAGTGAACGTGATATGATATATGTAATTTCTATTCAATGTCTGTTGACCACTGTCATATTTTTCTACTATCTCAAAAAATTCTATATAACTTTCAAATTTGTATTTGAATTTTTATTTCAGTTTTCATTTTAATAATTAAATAATTAACACAATTCAAAGAAAATTTTATAGTTTGTTTTTAGAATGCCACCATGCCATGTGGACCCAAACAATCTGTTTTCATCTGTATATGGTTTCATATCATTCAAAATTGACGATCAATAAAGCATTTGACATAGATACTAGGATTAATTTTGCCCCAATACTTTCGGCCAAAAAATTGCTTTCCCGTACAATTTGATGGCATTCATTTGGTTAAAAGTCCGAACTTGAATCCGTATTTTTCAATCCAAAAATCGATGTTGGATGACAAAACTTGCAGCGATTTTTACCCCCCCCCCCCCTCCCAAACTATTTGAATTAAATTTTTATCCCTCATCGATCTTTTGATGTCGTCCCTTACTCCTTTGCTACAAACAATTTAGTCATCATATGAAGGTAGAAATAAGATGTGACATAGAAAAAAATGTGTGTGTTATGAATGACTTACTGTAAACCAACTAATAGTCGCTAGCAATTTATTTTCGCTTCTTTTGCCAGTAAAAAAAATAATGCAAATATAAATCGTCCCAAGAGTGTAACACTCAGGTCTTTCCTAATATAAATACATCAAGAAAATGAGAAAACTACAATAAAAAATCACCACCAAGTCAAATAGAAAGGGCTAAACATGAAATAAAATATCAATGAAAATAAGTTGGTTTACAATATCTTAGTGCAGACACTTCCCTTGTTTGCACGATCCCAAAATTATTTCAGTATTGGCCAAATTTTTATTTTTCAACAAACTGACCTCAAACTCCAATTAAATTATATAATTCAACAGTCTTTTTTCTCTAATTCTTAGAAGATTCCTACTTTAGCTTATCTGTAAACTATTTTTTTGTAATCATGTGGTTCATTTGATCTCAGTTGGTCAATTAGTCAAAATTGCTGTTATGCTGTTAAATTTTCTTGCTTTCCTCTTTATTTGCTACTGTGATGTCATTAATAAAAGGCGTCATGCCTGATGACATCACACAACTAGAACACATCTTTTTGTAGATCATTGGGAAAAAAATATAAAGTGTGTCTTAAACTGTGAAATCAATGGAAAACTATATAACTATCAATAACTTTCCTTACAGTAACATATAGCCAGAAATCTGCCTATTGTATATAGTTAGAGTTTGCACAATGATCAATTAGAGAACAAAACGAATCATTTAGAAATATTTAAAGTACCATCAGTCATATGTTGACATTCTGCCTGTGTAGTTGTAGCTGCTGTATTTCTGCTGGCCATTTCACAACATCCTAAAGGCTCTGTAGTACTGTAATTCTGTTCCAGTGTCTTAATTTGCAGTTCTATATCATCTCGTAAGCATGGGGCAAAGAATGCTCCAACACCTTTGAACAAAACATTGAAATAGTAAATACATAAATACATTTAACTCATAATGCAGCATTCACACATAGCCAAATATGGCTACTGTTTTAGATCAGTCAGTGCTTTGACTTGAAAAGTTAAAAAATCTGATACTTTCCTCAATTATCTGGAATATCCTATCATTGTCTGAATGATTGCGATTTTGTCGTGACAGATTCTGCTGTATTGAATCAAAATCGTAACAATATTCTGTGTTGTCTGGACGGTGTCTTCACAATATCCTGTGGGAGGGGCATGATCTGGAGAAATTTTTCATTGCCATTTCTTTGTCTGACCGAAATTCTTTAAAATTGAACGTTTACTATATTCAACCTGTTCAAATATCCCATACAAGTTCCACTAAATTTTATCAAATCATTTTTTAACAAGTAATTATTTGAATCTAGAATAATTTTGACTTCTGGAAAATTGATAAGAAATGAATTATGAGTACTAACCCAACTTTAGTGGGTAAGACATGAGCACATGGCTAAGGTTCAAGTTACTTTCACTGATATTTCAGTATGAACTCAACCACTCCTCTTAGCCTAGCTTGCATGACTAACCCTCCTTTATTGGGTTAATTTTCATCATACATTTTTTATAAATTTTCCAGAATCTAAAATTATGCCAGCTGTTAGATGTGTAGACAGACAATGGTATACCATAACATGTCTCCCAACAAAACTGAACCATGGTCAAATTTTTTCCATTGTATTTTGAACCCCCTAATGGAAAATTTATCTCTTGTATTCACCAGGTAAGTCATGCGCACATGGCTAAGGTTCAAGTTACTTTCACTGATATTTCAATATGAACTAACCAACCCCTCTTAGCCTAGCTTGCATGGCTCCATAATAATAGTGTAGAACGTCACACACAGGGTGTTGGCTATGTTTGACACAGGGTGGTGGTTTCGAAGCAAAGAAAAATTATCAAGTTGAGAAAAGTATCAAATTTTCCTTTTCTAAAAACTGTTAAACATTCTAAACAATGGTATTTGATACTAAGTATTGTAGAATGCAAAATGTACAATGGTTGGAGAGGAGTTTAATTTTCATGGTTGGTTGTCAAAATACCAAGACTAAAAATAATGAACCAACTTGAAATTCTGACATTTTGAATGAGGTAGGGGGCAATTTCCCACACATTGTACAAAAGTGATTATGGAAAAATGTTCAAAAACACATAAACTATGTACCATACTCCTGTTAATTCATCACATATAAAATTGATAACAATATCTTCAGTATCCATAATCAATAAAACATGTACCGGTACAGTTCTTACTAGTTATATATTTGTCTGATGGTCCTATCCACAGATTTGGTATAACCCACTTGTGGACTGTTTCTGTTCCTAGAAAGGTCTGTATGCCATCTCTTGATTCTACAGTGGGTTCTATTCCAAGAGAAGCCAGGCCTCCAAGATAGCAAAAAACACCACAGGTTACAAACTGGGCCTGTTGTATAAAATAGGAGCAAATTTATATATTAATGTGCATATTTTTCATCAAGATTGTCTTTGATTCTTTTGAGAAGTTTGTTAATTAGCAATTCAAATTATGTTATATATGAAAGATGGTTAGATAGATCTGGTTCCAAAATTCCATGATTTGCATATTGATATAGTATCCTTATATCTAGTGAGTTAAGTATAAATTATCCATAAGTTTAACAAAATCACACATGTACTAAGTCTAAAATGAGATTTTGATATTGCATTCTATTAAAACAATCTTGAACCCTATTATTAAAAATATCAAAATATGTTTTATAGAAATGTGTTGTGGTAAGTTTGAAATAATGATTTGCTGATAAGTTATTGTACCTTCTGATCATATGACAAATGTAAATGTTACAGTAAACCCAATGAGCTAATCTTCATAATCAAAAATGTTTCGTTTCTGGTCTGAAAATGGTAAATGGGTAAATGGATCAGGGGTTCATATTTGCATTAAATAATGAAAGGTCCAGGACCCATTAAATTTTAAAGTGAAAGGTCCTCTCTAAGAGAGTCAAATGTCCTATTTAAAGCATCAGTGAAAATATTTGTAAGTTCTTGACTTCACAATTCAATAAATGGGGAATGTGTCCATGGGACACAGATGCCATGGACACAGATGATGCCCCGCTTGCATATCATATAAAGTTATAAAGGGACATAACTGAAGAACATTAAAAGTGATGCTACCCAAATTTGAACCTGATCTAAGTTTTGTGGTAACAAGTACTGTATATAAGTTTCATAACATTTGGTTGAGGCAAACTTAAGTTAGAGAACAGAAACGAAAAATTCAATTTTTCCATTTGTTAAGGGGCATAACTCTAGAACAGTAAAAGTGATACATTTGTACCTCCAAAATTCCATCTTGGTGTAATAAGCATTGTGTACAAGTTTCATAACATTTGGTTGAGGCAAACTAAAGTTAGAGAACGGAAACGAAAAATTCAACATATTTTCCATTTGTAAAGGGCATAACTCTAGACAGTTCAAGTGACGCCACCAAAATTCAAACTTGATCTGTGTTTTGTGGTAATAAGCATTGTGTATAAGTTTCATAACATTTGGTTGAGGCAAACTAAAGTAAGAGAATGGAAACAAAAAATTCAGCAATTTTTCCATTTGTAAAGGGGCATAACTCTAGAACGATTAAAGTGACACCACCAAAATTTGAAAGTGATCTGTGTTTTGTGGTAATAAGCATTATGTTTAAGTTTCATAACATTTGATCGAGGCAAACTAAAGTTAGAGAACGGAAACAAAAAATTCAGCAATTTTTCCATTTGTAAAGGGGCATAAGCCACATAACTCTAGAACGGTTAAAGTGACGCCACCAAAATTCCAACTTGATCTGTGTTTTGTGATAATAAGCATTGTGTATAAGTTTCATAACATTTGGTTGAGGCAAACTAAAGTTAGAGAACAGAAACAAAAAATTCAGCAATTTTTCCATTTGTAAAGGGGCATAACTCTAGAACGGTTAAAGTGACACCACCATATTCAAACTTGATCTGTGTTTTGTAGTAATAAGCATTTTGTATAATTTTCATAACATTTGGTTGAGGCAAACTAAAGTTAGAGAACGGAAACCAACTTTGGGACGTACATACAGATGGACAAGGGTAAAACTTAATGCCCCCTCTGCAAAGGCGAGGGCATGAAAATGAAAAGACCCCTTCTGGAAAATGACAGGTCCTGGACCACTGACCCACAGTTATTTGAACCCATGTCATAACATTGAAGTGTGGGATGATTGGGATCTGTCCCTTATTCCTGATTGGTGAGGGGCCTGATGGGTTATTTTCGGTCTTCGTGATCGGCGCATTTTCGCTATCGTGATCCGTTTTTCTACAGATTTTTTTTTTTTTTATATTTTTGTGATCCGTGATCATGGAAATTTATTTCTGTGAATCGTGATTGACAAAAAAATCAACTTCTGAATCTTGATGAGACCCCACCCCCCCCATCAGGCCCTTCATTGGTATATGATAGTGTCTATGTTTCATAAGGTTTATGCAACTATTCTTTAATAATGTCTCTTCTGCTATATATTTTTATTGAGTCATAAATTTTAGAACACAAAGCATCCTTTTTCAGTCCTTTTTTTTATTTTTTTTGCAAAGGAACTGCATGTGTCCATTCAAGCCAATGAATAAACCCACCATGGGACGAGGGCAAGAAATTTTGTCACAACACATGATAATGATCAACTCTTCCTTTGATCAGGGTTCAGTTCAATTAACTTACAGTCTGGAATGTTAGCAGACTCTTGTTTGGGTTATTCTCTTCATTAATGCAAGAACACGTTAGAAAGTTACTATTGTTTAAAAAAAACATGCATTTTCTATAATGGATGTTGACTTTAAATCAATGAAATTCAAAACAAAACTGGTATATGTGAAATCCATGCCTATTCTTGTCAAGCTTCCTAAAGTTTTAGTCATTCTTCATCATGTACTTTTGTATATAACTTTCAAACATGAGCATTGGACCTCTAATATTTCTTGAATAAATCTGGAGTTATTCTTTTTTTTTAATTTTAAATCTACTGTGTAAAGGGAAGCAACTCCAACTACTCTACTGATATTTAATGCATGAGACCTGGCTTTTTCACCTTGCTATCTAAAGCCACAAAATTTTGTACTAAATAATCATCTGGTAATTTTTTGGGGTTAGAAGCCAAGAATATAAGATCAAATGCTAATTTTCAGTTAATGTGGCAGGGTATACATCGGCTAAAGTTTTTTAATATCACAGTATCTATCTTCTATAATCATACATCACCTCTTGTGTATTAATGCAGTTAAATGGTATTTAGGTAAACAAATATTTCAATTCTTCATTTTGTTTAATTACCAAGGTAATAAATAATGTGAAGAATGGTATGAATTCTGGCAGTTTAGACATCTTGAGTTTGATATGTGTAAGACTTTTTGCTTGTTTTTCAATTTTCATGCCACGCTTCAGATCATTCCATTCTTCAACAACTCTCCTTGTAGGATTCACATAATAAGCTGAAATAAAACAAGAGTGTGTCCATAGCACACTGATGCCCCACTCGCACTATCATTTTCTATGTTCAGTGGACCATGAAATTGGAGTCAAAACTCTAATTTGGCATTAAAATTAGAAAGATCATATCATTGGGAACATGACTTTTGTGTACTAAGTTTCAAGTTGATTGGACTTCAACTTCATCAAAAAATACCTTGACCAAAAACTTTAACCTGAAGTGGGACAGACAGACGAACGAATGAACGGACGGACTGACAAATGAACATACAGACGAACGAACGGACGAACGAAAGAAAGAACGAACGAACAGAAACACAGACCAAAAAACATAATCCCCCTAAATGGGGCATAAAAAATAATAGGGACAAGTAACAATGATCGTCAGACAGTCACAAATGTAAATTATTTAAACATTTGCACATGTACTATAAAGGTGATTTTCAACACTAGACTTTCTCTTTCAGTGACCAGAATCTCAGGTGGAAGGTTAAATCAAGCATTGTTACTTCAGTATTGTCATTTGCTATATACTTGCTGTCAGAAATTAAGGATAAGGTCATTTACAATTGACGGTCAATAACTGTGACTTTTTCACTTACTTCATTGCAAGACATCAAATCAATTTGATCCAAATGGAATTGTTTCATCAATTCAAACTACTGAATAAGTAAAAATTTACACCATACTGATCAAGGACGGCCACAGTCAAGTCAATAATGTCAGTAGTTCAAGAATAAGGCATACTTATAAGATCCTATTAAAGGAAAAAGTATGATTAAGAGGTAAATTTGCCACAAAATCAAATGTGATTCAAACTATCACTCTTTTGCAGAATCAAGGGTTTAATCAGTCTACTTTAATGAAATATTGTGTTTTGGTTATAAAAACTATTCATGGGTGATACAACCCTGAATGTCCATAACATCTTTAAAATGAAGATATTGTGCAAAATCTGGTCTTCTTTAATCACAAACCCACAACCACATCATTCAGGAAATATTCCAAGAATTGAATTGATTTTAATTCCTTCTTATTACATGACAAAAACTCATTAAATGTTTCATATTACCTGACAATTCCTATTTCCTCTAACCTTATTTTTTCATATAATACAAAACTATAAAAGTCTATTGAATATTGAAACGTTGCAAGTATCCCTTTAGAGATATCATGAGTATAATGTACAGCATCTGTGTTTTAACATTGGTTTTATATGGAGATATGATAATGGGATCATGTGATGTAAAGCTAGGTAAATAATTTTATGACTTTAGACATATTTTTAAGATAAGGAAAGATGTTTTTGATTCAGAAATGTTATCCTTTAACAATATATGCCCCCATCTTTAATAATTAAGCCAAAACAAAACAAAAAATAAATTATCTAACAATATAAAAAAAAACACATCATACACTAAGTGTAAACAAATGAATACTTCTCTAGTTTGCCCGTGTTGACAGGTGAATTTAATCATGAAAATGTCCATGCCATTTGGTCTCTTGTGGAGAGTTGTCTCATTGGCAATCACAACCAAATCTTCTTATTTTTATAACCTACTTGTTGGTGCATGTCAACATCAGTTGCATAGAATCAATTTTTTTTTATCATTTTATTCCAACTGCTACTGATATTTTTGTAGTTTAAACAAACTGAAATATAATGCAAGCTTTTCATTTTTAAACATAACATACACCATTTTTATACTATCAGATATGTTTATTTCATATTTCTCTTCAGAAAGTTCACTTCTCAAGGATCTAGTTGAAATGTTGTTAAAGAAAGATTCAGGTAAGATTGAAATATTGAGCTGTTACCAAAAATATTAAAATAATGAATTGTAGCTAAAAAACTTAAGGTTACAAGAGCGCAATTATTCATAATGCATTTTCCATAGGGTACCAGTGGTGTTCCATATTTTATTTCTCGAAGACTACACAAACTAGGAAAAAATGGGTAGCAGTTCCTGTTACTAGAAATGCCAGTGTTGCATAACAAACAAAAAAATATATATGGTCATGCGGCAAAAATTGACTTAAAATGCAGTTGAAAAACATCGTCTATTTTTTAATGAAAAAGGCATATTTCTAATGGCTCCGACGTGCAGAAATGGAAGATATTTTCTATACTTTGTAAAATGTGAATTTGATTTTCTGGATTTTTTAAACCTAATTGGATAAGCTTTTGATTAAAAGTAATTCCATTCCTGTATCATCCAATCAGAAGCCGTACAAGATTCTATTCTGAGTACCATCTTGGGGTAAAAAAACTTGCAGGTAAAATGTAAACAAATAAGTGGGCTCTTGTAACCTTAAAGATAATCATTCTCAAGTAAAGAAAGAGTTTCAAGCTGCTCATATGCCTGTTCAAATGTCCTTAAATAATATATTTTAAGTAAATTCTGACAATTCGATATATTTCTTACATTGCAAAAATTATAACTAACTTACTCTCACTTAGTTATCTATTTAATTATTTATTTACAGCAACTTTATACACTTTTGTAGAATTTAACAAATAATTGATATTCAATATCACCAGTGATGCATTAAAAGTTAAAACATATTTTAATCATTATGAAAGTTTTGCCATAAAACACCAGGGTTTATTGGAAGAGTTCTGGTCAACGTGCATTATTCTTTACAAAATATTAATTGCACTTGCAATCATGAGCAAACTAATATCTTCCTAATAATGTTCATCAATATCAGTCAGGGGAATTACCAAAATAAGTGATTTTTAAATCACTCATTTAAGCAACATATTAGAAATTCTGTGATTTTGCAGTTTTACCCAAATTTTAAAATTTTTAACATACAGGTTCATATCATATCTAATTATTAGTAAAATTGAAAGAAAAAAATGGATCTTTTGCTTCTTTTAGGTAGCAAGGTTTATGCCTTTGATTTAATCATTCATCTGTAAATTCTAAATTTGTTGAAAAAATAAGCACTATTATGAAGGCTTTACATAATGATCTACAACAGATTTTTCCCAGTAGTGGGAGTATTTTTCCTGTAAATTTCAAGGTTTCAGCTTTCAGATTATGTAATAAAATTTTACTGTTTGCAACCAAAATTTAACTGTATGTGGGTGTTGAAAAAAATGGGGGATAATAAATAAAAAAATATTTAAAGAAGTGATCTTTTAAAAGAAAATAGAGGTAGGATACTTGAAAGGGCATTAGCTGTCAAATTCATGTTCACTGATTTGACTAAATTTCTCATATTTGATTTATAACATACAAAAAGTATATCCAAATAACAAAAAGTCTATAATAAACAATTAACAATGCTTGGACTGGATAATATGTATCAGCATTTCGTGTATATTTTTGTCTAGACATCATCTAATTAACCATTGAGATGACCACAGAAGACTGCTGACGGTCATATAACCTGATATAAACATAAACATAAATAGATAGCGACCAAGTGCAATTGGATTTTTCTAGGTCTGTTTGAGTTTATGTTGTAGGTTAAAAAGTATGTTTATCATCATTTTATCCTGTATAAGAATGATTTTTTTGTGGATCAATTCAGTTAACCAAATGGTTCATCCTTGTTTCAATTTCAATGTTGACATTCTTTCCCTTTCAAAAGATGAATACATGTGCAACCCAGCTCCAACTAAGGGGTTAAATTGAAGGTCACATGAATATGGATTCAATGAGGTCATTTATTCACTTGCAAGTGAATAATTCATCATCGATATTTCTTAGCTTATATTGACAAAATTTAACCAAACTGGCTGCTTTAAGCCAATTATTATTTCACTTTTTCACTTTCATTAATGATTGAGCAAAAAAAATAAATCGTATTTTATTCTTTTTATATCTCGTAGCTAATGCCCCTTAAACAAGTGATTTTCATGCCATCCCAGATTCAGTACAGGGTCATCACTTGAAATGATTGGTCATCCTATTAACACAGATACTGGTTTTGATAATTTTAGCATCATAATTAGTCCCAGGACCAATAACATTATATTTTCAAAGCTACAATAAAATATCAAAGTACTGAAGTACTGAACATCGGATGACCACAAGTTCTTGAGGATGGTCAAAAGCACTTGAAAAAAAAACAACATATCTCTTTACCTGAAACTGAGGTTAATGTACAGAGATATATTTTTTTCTAGACAAGTGCGTGCGAGTATGATGAATAAATGACAGGAAATTCAACTTCACCGTAATAACTATTATATTGTAGTGATACAAATCAGTATACACTGATTTGTTGTTATATATTATATTAAAATAACAGTTACATATATATATGATTTGCATCCGTTTGTATATCATTCTATTCTACTGTTCTAATAATAGTGCAATGCAAGTGCATGGTGGACACTTTTCTGTAAAAATTCGATTTTTCTAAGATTGGATACGAGTAGGCATTCATATTTTCCCGCAAAAACAATTACAGAGTTACCGGTCCTGTCGCAAAACGTTCTTTGAGATATTCTTCCGCATGCTTTAACACAATTTTTCGGTACGTGTGCATTGATATTATCAATGATTTTTTACTTACATATATATATCTAACTACAAAACATTTTCACATTATTAATTTATGTTGTAAACAAAAATATTTTTATCAGTATTCATTGAAGAGATGTATTTATATCAAATGACAAGGAATGTTATTTTGCACTCGTTTATGTGCGCATATTTATCATGTTTATAGATCGGTTACAAACCCAAAACTAATTTACATAATGGAAATCTAGGCGATAGCAATACATCGAATGACCTCAAGGTCATCGCGATGTAAAAATCACTTAGTTTGGTGATTTATTTGTACTACTTAAATAGATGATTATTAAAGAAAGACTACTCTTACTTGCAACTTTCTGTAAAAAATGTTACTTTTTTTAGAAATCACTCATTTAAGTAATTCCCCTGACTGAATATAGATGTAGCAACACTGTAATATTACTGAAAGTTCAAGGCTTGATAATTCATTTTTTTTCAAACATTGAAAAATGTAACTCAGTTCTTGAAGAGTTCTCATATTCTTGCAATTAAGATACATGTATTCAGATTTGAGGTAAAATGGGAATATTACATCCTGGATTACAAATCACTGCTAAAGATTGGTGGCAATCATAACTTAAATCAGCAAGATTTGATACAGAAATGAAACTTATTAATGGTAGAAACATTTTTTACAAAGACAGAAAATTGTTTAATTGATAAATTATACACTTTAGCTTTATAAGGGTAGATTAATCAGATAATTTAGTTTATTAAAAGAATGTACTATAAAACATTTTAAATCTCTCTATTTTGATATGTAGTAAAAAAATGAATACGGTGACCACATTTTAAAATTTTTCTTTTTATTCTATTCACTGTTAATTCAGAAATGTTTACAATGGTTTTATTATTGCAAACATTTTGACAGGATAGGTGTTGCAAAATAGCTTGCATAATAAATTTTGATTGCATTGAGTGTTCACACAGAGTATTTTTGCATTTTGTTATTGCTCAACAAACGCAATAAATGCATACCAAAATTTCTGAATTTACAGTACAAATGTATATGAAAGCCTTCTTTAAGAGCTATTTTTTTATATTTAAAAAAAATTCAAACTTGTGTCATTCATGTCATTAGCTAACCTTCTAGTCTGTGTTTTTTTCTGTTTGTTTATAATTAATACAAAGTATAGGTATCTTCCTTTATCCATAGCTTGAAAACAAGCTCTATGTCTATACTTTTTATTAATTTTATATATTTTAACACCATACTAAAAACTAAATTTTGGCAATGAATAAAAACAAATTCTATCATTTCTTGTTTATACTCCCTTATTAACTTCAATAATTGAATTCTACATATAAATGGTCTCTTGCAAGTACATCAAAGAAGCTAAAGGTTCTAAAGAGCCTGTGTCGCTCACCTGCATCTTCAACAATAG